AAACTAAATAAAAAATGAATTTTAAAAAAATATCTAAAAAAAACTACTCGATTCTACTCGATCTCTCTCTAAACATGTGATTTAAGTTATGAGATCTAGATAACCATTTATAAAAAAAATAAAAAAAATCTTGAAACTTAATTCTCAAACCAACCCAGCATTGAAAGGCGAAACTAAAAAAGAATTCAATTCTTTTTAAGAAAAATAATAACCCTAGTTAACATAAATTATCTGTTAAACGTATGACTTAGATCTTAAAATTAGGATAACCCCATAAAAAAAAAATACAAAGCTCAATTCCCAATAAACCCAGTGTTAAATAATGAAATTAAAAAAACAATTAAAATAAAAGATCAAAAAATAATCGAAGTCAATTAAGGATAACCTTCCAAACCCATGACCTGAGTCATGAGGCCTATATTACTTCATGAAAGGCAAATAAAAAAAATTATGAAACTTAATTCTCAAGCAATCTAATTATGAGGGTTGATATTGGAAAAAAAAATTAATTAAAAGAGATCCAAAAAAAATAATAATTAAAAAAATAACAATCAAATTTAACATAAAAATAAAATGATAAGACCTCTTGTTATTTTGAAGAGAATGGATGCAAGAACCAAGAATAGGAAAAAGAAATGATTAAGGAGAAAAAAAATAAGCCTCCACACGCCTTCAATAACAATATGAGTTGTACCACTGGGATGACCTTGCCAAGACACTTTGATAAACACCACATATGATAGTGTTACAACATCGAAGGAAGTTGTACGTGCTACAAGAGCGTAACTTTCTATACATATTGGCATATGCAATGCATGCGTCAATTCTTTTTTTATTGTCTTTTTATCCCAGTTCTTGTAATTGTTATTAGTTTCAATATGATCCCTCAAGCCTCAGTTATTTTGGATTAATAAAATTAAACTTTATTTTGCAAAATCAAATATTAATTAGATGTTAGAATTTTTCCTCGACATCGCAAGATTCCTATTTTTTGGCAATCAAAAGGCATTGTGAAACCTAATCCCAAATAAACTTAATTTTAAATGATCAAATTGAAAAAAAAAAATAGTGATTGAAAAAATTAGGGTAAATCTTTTTCCTCCTTCTACAATTCAATATCTGATTCTTTTTAAGAAAAAGGAGCTAAACACTTAACTATTGTTTAAATTTGATCTCATATCTTCAATTATTTTAAATCAATAATTTTTCACTTAATTTTGCTAAACCAAGCATCAAATGAGTAATGAATGTTTTTCTCGACATACTAAAATCCTATAAGTCAGGCAACTAAAACAAACTACCAAATCCAATTCCAAATAAACACGACTTTAAAGAGAAAAAAAAATTGAGGGATCAAAATGAAAGAAAAAACTAAAAGAATAAATAAAAAGCATTATGAATTACTATTGTAATTTATGGGTGAATAGTACCACCCACCCTTTAATTAATTTTTTAATGAATAATTATACAATAAATATCGGTAATATCTCATCCAATAGGTTTGCCACAAACCGCTAATTGCTAAAATCTATTAAAAAATTACATTATTTGGTTTCATAAACTTAATCATTTTTAGCATGAGTTTACAGTCTATAATAATCAATAATAAAGAATAAAGAGCATTTACACGACCTTTTTTCTTTTTTTATGTTCTTTCTTTCTCTTTTAGGTAAGAAATTAATAAGGGTAGAATTATATTATAAATAGATAATTACCAAATATGTAATTTTTTAAAAAATAATATTATGACTTATGAGGTATTAATTAGAAGGATCTACCTGTTATTTAATTGGTCTTCCTCTTTAAAACGGAAGTTTTCTCATCCTATCACATCTACATTCCATAGTTAACCACTAAATGTTATCGTATCTGGCATGGACTGGTAATCCAAATGTATGTTTGCAAAGTATTGATGTCAAACTGGTAGGGCTTGAACCATTGAACCTAACAATATTAATTGGCCAAATTCTATAGCAATTCAATTATGCTAAAAATGAAAAAGATAAATTTATTTTTTCAAATTTACTAATTTTAATTTTTTTAGTTGAACCATCAAATCAACAATTTAATTAGCTATATTAATGGAACATGTCTTAAACCATACCTACAATCATTGTTTACAAAATAAAAGGGTGAGACTTCATGATGCAACTTAAAGCTAAAAACAATAATTAAACTAAGAACATGAAATATTTTAATGGATAAAAGAAGTTGTAGATGTGAGCCCTAGATTTACAAGCTTTGTTTTTCTAAAATAATGATAATGATGTCTCTCTTATCTGAAGCTTTACAAAACTTTAAATAGGTCAAAAACCCTAATTCAAATAATAAAAAAAACAAAAAAAAATTCAAAATCTAAAATTACAAAGAAAAGAAGCTTAAAATCCAAATTAAGTAAGAAATCTGAAAATAAGAAGAAAAATCACAAAAATTAATCAGAGGGCTCGATGAGATTTTTTATATTTAAAGACTCAACGGTCCGTATAGCAAGACAATGACTACTATAAGGGAAACAACCTCTGGAGACTCCTGTAAATATTTAAGCGTGATCCAATGATCAGATCAAAAGTTATGATTTTTTTGAGTCATTATTCTAGTCTAGTAGATCCTCATTTAGTTGTGGCAAACTCATACTTGATTGTGCATAACCATTTGTAATCGCAGGTCTAATTATGTCACTTGAGACTTGTTGTTTATGGTTTAAATTTCATTTCCACATCAAAAAACCGTCTCACCCTAAAAGTTTAAGTTGTTGGGTGAAATCCAAAAATATAATTTATATTATTTTCTAACACAACTCTTCAAATGAAAAATTTTTGATCTTGAAATTTACATAAACTCACGTTACCTTGTGTTTAATTTTTATCATGTATAATAAGATGGTGAGAATTGAACTTATGACTACTTGGTTAACAAAACTCTGATACTATATCAGAGAATTATCTTAATTCAATAACTTAAATTTTTAGAAGAGATTCAATAATAGCTTTATATTATTTTTTAATATTTTTTTAATCTTAAAATTTACTCGACCAACTCTACCTTATATTATTAATAAAATTTAAACATGTGATAAATTTAACAATAAAACTCAAACACCACCTCGAAGAACTACCCACTCAAAGTTACCAAATCAAACCCTAATTGTCCTTGCGCTCTATAATTGCCGTGTTTGTTATGCAATCTAAATGCTCTGGCATGCCATTAAAGTGGCCAAGATACCTTTGTTCATGAATCGCTGTAGATGTTTTGGCCTTGATGGGTTGATGTGTACAAGGCTAAGATGGACTGGGTGTACACATCCAGGCCATCTATATCTCACCATTCTAGACAAGGTTTCTGCGTCCATCACAATAGTGTGATTCTAGCTGAGCTTGTCTGCCTAAGAACCAACCTCACACGTTCACTCGTCAGATTTCATGATCGCCTTGGCCCTACCTTTGCATCAATGACATTTGGTATTTCCATCGACCAAATATACAAGTCTCAGGATCTTGTCTAATATTATTATCTAATAATTATTTTTATTATTATTTTAAAATGAATTTGATTTAATGCCCACGCATGTTTACACAAGGGGATTGACCTTGAACTATAAATTATTTAAATAATCGATGAACATTTAGGGCTCGAACCCCAAAATTTGCATGTGGATGTCAGAATTTTGAAATTCGTTGTCCTTTCGCGACAGATTATCAATCCATGGTGTTGAAATTCGTTCTGCCAATGATGTGCATCCACAGCTGCCAGATTATGTTATCCTAGAATGTTATAAGATATGCTGAAGTTTTTTCTTTTTTAATTTATCTCCTTCAAGGCACAATTTTAAGTTGAACTAGCTATAACTTAGCCTCTTTAGTTTAATGAAAAATTAATCCTTGTAGTTTAAAAAAATGTTCTAAAATTCGTTTATAATATAGTTATTTTGTCAAATCTATGTTGTTTTTCAATTAATTTGTTAAAATAGAAAAGGGAAGACAAAAGGAGATAGATGGGATTTTTTTTATAGAAAAAAGGCATTTAAAAAAACTATATATATATATATATATATATATAAAGTTTGGCACAATATAGGGATTACGTTATAATTTACTCTTTCAAAGTTTATGTGATGCTGTCATTTTCTTTTTTATCTCAAGATCTAGACTCTTACTGCATTGTTGAGTGGCACATAAATTAATTGTCTAAATTACCATTTGGAGCTTAAATCAAAGATTAAAGCTTGAAAATATCTCTATCGATTTAATAGGATATATTATTGTAAAATGTGCTTTTACATTATGTTTCTGGCTTTTTATATTTTTGGGCAAAGAACTTGACAAAATCATAGTTAATTTTGAATACATAACACTTTTTTTTTTTTATCAAGGAAGGAACCAAAAATAATTTCAAAGCCCTAAACTATAAAAACCAGATAAAATGTGAGAACAATTCAATCGAAATTAAAAAAAAAAAAACAAAAAGACCTTATTCAAAGAAAAATTCCCTTTCAGTTGGAGTATTAATAATACAAACACACTAAATTTCAAGCCCTAAAAATGCATAAATCTTCAATCAAACTCAAATCCTCCACTTCCTCTCAAGCCCCTCCACACCATCGTCATTGTCGTTGTCCTCTCCTCCATCTCTTCATCTGGTCAGACCTATAAACCATCAAAAATTGTTGAGAGGGTCAGATTAGGTATCCACAATGTTGGTAGTCGGCCAGAGGCGTTGGAGAAGCTTTGCAGTGATTAAAAATCAACAACGAGATTGCTTGAGGTCTTAGTCGTGATGCAATGATGGAAGAGGAGAGACTCTCGATGGTCCAAAATTTATGGTTTTGTCTTTTTTGTTGTCTGGAAGGAAGGTTGAAAGGGATTGAGATATTAAGCTCGAAAATTAATGGAAATATTTCTCTCTCTCTCTTATTTATTTATTTTTGTGAATCTCTCTCTCTCTTATTTATTTATTTATTTTTGTGAATAGTTTTTTATGATTTTTCTTGTAGTTTTTCCCCCTTTTTCTAGTTCATTATTTTTTAGCATTATTTGATTTCTATACTTTCCATTCTTGTTTCATTTTCTTAATTGTTTTAGTTTTTTCTTATTTTTTTAAGTCTCCATGTTGATTGTCATTGATGACTGTACATTATATATATATATATATATATATTAATGTTTTAGTTTAGTTGCTTAAAATAAAAGCAGGTAAAAATTTAAAAAGATAAAAATAATATTTTTTGAGGTGTAAAGAAGAGATTTATGTGTTTTTTCTCATTAAATGTAGTGGATAATCTAGATTTTTTCTCTAATTATTAATATTGAAAAAAACTGTTGCTCTAAAAATTTAAAAATTACAATACTATCAAACGCGCACTAAATCTCACACTATAGCACAATTATACTAATTTTAAAAGCTTCCATGGTGTGGACTCAATTAAACATATAATAAAAACTAATTATCTCATTTGATTAATATATAAATTAGTTTAAAATCAATTATTTCACCCGCCCTCAAAACCCTCCCATGATATGAAAAACAGATTGGCAAGTAGAAGCCGATTTGTTTGCTCTTTCCATCTGAATGCGGGTAGAACGGTAGATTACACTAACTATATGCGTGTTTTTTGAGTTTTGACAAATTTCCCTTACTACTTAAAATAATTATTAAATTCCTTCTAACAAAATGATATAAATTCATCAACACAGAACCTTTTACACTCGGTTTGATAAATTAATTTAGTGATTTATTAGCACACAAATTAATTATATTTGGTTTGTTTTTTATTTAAATTAACCTGATCAAATTTAGATTATCATATAAATCAATTGTTTGTTTTTTATTTAAATTAACCTGATCATTATCATATAAATCAATCTTGTAATTCAATTAACTGGACTACACTCAAATGGAAATTTATCAAATTAATTTTAAGATTTTTTTTTAATTTTTATTTAAAATAACATCATTTTATTTTATTTTTCATATAACATTGTTTTATTTTTTTATTTTTAATAAAAAAACATTGTTTTTTGAGATAAGGTTAGATTGATTTGTTGATCTCCAAGTTAATTTGATCAATTATCAGAACCTAAACCTTGGTCCGAATATGATAGTTACCTTGATCTTGATGGGTTTTTGGCGTGGCCACCTTACGGATCAGAAAGCAAGTTCAAAATCAATAAATCAAAACGTACATGGTGTGTTCGTACGTAATCATGAGATGCAAACCATATTGTAGAAAGTAGAAGACTACAAGCTGGGGAGGCATATCTTGTCATCACATGGCTTGTTGTCACACAAATAGAGAACTTTCACTGAAGAAATTCTACTTGATTAGAAATTAGGCTTTTTGGGTGCCAAATATATATACATACAGGGTCCCCTCCTTTTGCTTCTCTCCACATGGTTCCCTCCCTCTCCTTCATTTCTCCCATATCTGAAAAAGAAGATGGCCTTAAAAGTTGATTCTGGGTACCGCGTTATATATATTGGCATGTAAGTGGACAGTCATCATGATCTTTTAGAAAGTAGAAGACTACAAGCTGGGGAGGCATATCTTGTCATCACATGGCTTGTTGTCACACAAATAGAGAACTTTCACTGAAGAAATTCTACTTGATTAGAAATTAGGCTTTTTGGGTGCCAAATATATATACATACAGGGTCCCCTCCTTTTGCTTCTCTCCACATGGTTCCCTCCCTCTCCTTCATTTCTCCCATATCTGAAAAAGAAGATGGCCTTAAAAGTTGATTCTGGGTACCGCGTTATATATATTGGCATGTAAGTGGACAGTCATCATGATCTTTTATAATCACCCTATCAACAGAAAAAAAAATCATCATCTATTATAATCACTGTTAACTTGTTAAGATACGGCTTCCATGGTGGCTCAATTATGTTCCAATGAAATATTGCCTTCTCAAAAAAAATTATTGGTTTTTCCTTTTTTTTGGGGGGTCTTGAGGTGATTAATTAAATTTCAGGGTTAGTTTTATAATCTTTTCAATTATGTTCCAGCGTATTTTTATTTTTTTTTAGTTTTATAATCTTTTCAATTATGTTCCAACGTATTTTTTTTTTTAAAAAAAATTCTAATCTCTTTACCATGGTTTCTTCAGTCGAAAGGTCACTATAGTAGTAAGTTAGGAATCCTTACGTTCGAAAGAATGATTCATACAAAATAAAAAAAATAAAAAAATTGTTATAAATGGCGCAGAAAGAGTTCACAAACTAACCCACCTTATTTTTATTATTTGACCTATACAACGAAAAATTGTTTGGGTCAATGTCAACGAAATGACAATGTTGGCATGCTGATAAATTCTGAACATGATATGGTGGACCTAAGTCTGATCCTCTTGGAGATTCATTTCATTAATGGCGAACTCCTATAAGATGTGCCCCTTCAACTAAAACATCATCCATTTATGAATATTTCACCCTTTTCCCCCCTTGATTATCGAACATAGACAACTGGGTGGATAATACAATATTAAAAACAAAATCAATCTTTTTTTTCTTCAAAAAAAGAGTCAATATTCGGCTAATGTCTCTATATTTATCCTAATTAACCGAAAGACTTGGAGGGAGAAATTAAAAAAAGGTTTCTAAAACTACATGAAAACATACCACAAATTAACAAAGAGAAGAGGGGGTGGGTGAAGGGATGAGAAGGAGGAGGCAACAAATTAGGTTATTAATAGATCAGTTAAATTATAGCGTCTCAAAGCTTCGATACAATGAATCCTCCACAGCAGCTATTAGATTATAAGATATAGTTTTACTTTGCAGATATATCTTTTGGAGAACATACAAATTCAGACAGGAGATTAGTTAAAGCTCTATAATCAACACATAAGATTAGGTCTTGGGTGCATATCATGGCCAAATCATGGGCACCATGGCTTAAAATAAAATAAGTTTCATATAAGGCCAACCCCATTTGCCCAAGTAGGAAGATTTAAGCAATATAAAATTAATACCACAGATAGATATTTGAAGCGGAAAAGCTTAATTAAACCATTGTAAGAACCAACAGGGACCTCGGGAATCATAGCTGAAGAACCACTTTTCTAATTTAAATTAAAAAATTCACTAGACAAACAAGACTGGATTAAGCCGATTGACTGAGAGACATTGGTTTGTTGCTTTCATCAAAACTGTGCACCAAAATGCTAGTCTTTGTTTATAAATATGGATGCCAAGAGTACAAGTAACTTCAATTATATATACACACATATATATAATTTTTCTACAAAATTTAATTAGGTGGATCATTCAATTGCTTGATCCATGAGAGGAACGCAAGGTTATAAAAGTTCTCTCACATCTTGTTTATCTATGTATTCTTCTGCAAATGATGCTGTTCATGGAAAAATAACCAACAAAAAACATTAACTACAAAACCCTTGGCTTGTTTAGATGAACCAAATGATGCCATATGTATTAATAATTCCTAACCAAACAAAATAGTAATTACAAATCATTATCATCTTTATCTCCCAAACAAATAATGGGAAGGTCAACCTTCAATGGGATGATAAAATAGATTTTCTTGGATCTTCTTGAGCACATGAGTAGATATGGTGATGGGCGTTTTATCAAAGTCAATATTAATTATTTGATATCTATTTAGCTCAAGCATTACGTGTTATGCTTGCCTTTCTTCGAAGCAAGCCGTGCTGTACATGTATTTTGAGAAGAAATTAAGCCTAATGTACTTTGATTGACTCCTTTAGTTCTTCACACTTCGATTTCCATATCTGAGGGGAAAGAATCAACCGAATGTTGGAACAAGTAGCAGGGATATATATATAGGATGAGAATTTGATTGCTTGATGTGTTGGAAAAATTCAAAGTAAAAAGGGTATTTTATCAATGAAATATTCATTGGTTTTAAATATCTCGAGTTTTTGCAATTGTTCTCGACTAATTATCCTTGACTTTTACTTCTTTATTCATGGAAAATGTAGCGAATTTTGTTTCCTTGGATGAACATATAGGTATAGATTTCATGTCAATATGCAATATATCAAAACTAAATTATATGTAAAACATGTCGTGGATGTGATTATGTATTAGATAAATAGGGTGAAGTTCATGGAGAAGTTCAAATGTGCAAGCTGATAAATTCAGTCGTAATTTTATATTTAATCATTGAATTGGATTTAAATAGACCCGGTTCTATAGAAAAGTAAGCTTTCTCTGACCAATTAAGTTACAGAAGGCCTTCAAATTAGGTTTAAAATATATTGTTTTAATTATTTTTTCTAATTGATATTATATTTTAATTATTTTTTATTTAGCTTTGGATTATTTTGGTTAAGCTAGTTCTTACCTTCAGTGTATTATTTTTCCATCAAATTATTAAATCACAAACTTTTCATAAAATATCACAGTTCTCTTTACTCATTTCTCTACATTTTAGAACTATAACTTTAGAATTTAAAAATCCAAGTCCTTTATCCGCACTTAGATGCATCATTAAAAACATGTAATTACACTAAAAAATTAAATTCAGGTGATGCATGTTTTGATGTTGTTTTGAAAAATTAATAAATGAAAAAAAAATATTAACTTAATTTGAAAAATCCATTCAAGTAATCCCTCCCCCCCTCCCTCTCTCTCTCGTCTTTACATGCTAAACTTAGGTTAATTACGCTAGATACAACACTACAGTGATTGGGACAAAGGAGGCAATCTCAAGAGATAATTGTATTCACAAAGATCCCTTTTGGGATTAATTTACATGCAAATCAAGTAGTAGTAAGAAAGGCTACAATTAATTTGCACTTTATAGAGCAACCTAGCTCTAGTTGATAGCTTATACACAGACAAACCCAGCAAGCCATTGGGACACTAAAACGGATTAAGTTAAACAAGGCCCTAATTCCACTTTACCATTGTTGCAAACGTGCACAGAGTCACAAACAACACATACTATTATGAGAAAAAGTTTACAAATTATCTTTTGTATATTACCCTAATTAGTAATTACATTTATACATGTTCATTCAATTCTTAATGGAGTATAAAATATCTTACCTATCAGTTTTTTTTTCAGTGGACCTTTTATTTCAACTTCTCTGACCACTTCGGTTTATATATCCCAGCAAGATAATCAAGTGATAATTTCCAAAATGGCTCCCTAATTTTTAATTTTAGGAAGTCAGGAACTAGAGGAAAGATCTAATATCCATAAAAAAATATTTCTCCACATTCCATTGCAGTTGCAAATATTCTCCTACAATTTTCCAATTTTTTTGACAATTTAATTAATTGTTCTAGCAATCGGGTAATTTGCATCTGATAATGCTTAGGTTCTTTGATTTTAATAATATGTTAAAAATACAATGGTTTGATATTTAAATGTTGACTTGATCAGTATGGTTTATTCGAGTCACTAGATTAATATAAATTTTTAATTAAATCATAAAAAAATCTATTTATTTTTTAATATGATTTAATTTAAATCTCAAGTATTTCATCCAACCAACTGGGAGATCTAGGCTTTAAAACATGAATGTCACTTGATATCATCTATTATAATAGTTAAAGGCTGGGTTTAACATTTATAAAACAGAGAGCAAGAAGATGGGGTTACGAAGGGAAAAAAACAAAAAGGGAGCAAACTAAAAAACAATTGAGAATAGAGGGATCAAATGTAGGGTTAACCCTCGTGAAAAGTGAACAGCTTGCATGAGGCAGATGGACATGGCTGATCCACAGACAGTGTCCAAAGCACAAGTCAAGCAAACATCTTCAACAAATTGTAGTTATTAACTGTTTCTAAAAGTGGATGGTCCCAGTCTCGCATCCCAATAAAGGTTTTGCCGTTCCAAACAAAAGATCCTTTATAAGCTGGGAGCTTTCAGGAATCATGATTCTTGCCGGGCATTGTGGGTCGAGTTTTCTTTTCTAAAGAACATGCAAAAGGCTATCCGTGGGGCTATGGCGTCCATGCCTTGTAGCCTGCTTTTCTCAGAAGAAGAAAATAGGTAAGCAACGAAGAAAAGAAAAGAAAAAAGTTGAGCAAATTTCAGGGAAAGAAGAAGACCGATATATACATATAAAAACATGTCCTTTGACCCCATGATAGTGTGTTGGCTTTTATAATAATAATAATAATAATAAAGAGCTTTATATTTGAATTTGTATATAGCTTGACAGAAGACATTAATGCAGCTAATAATTTAAGATTTTATTAACATAAAATAATAGAGGGGAAACGAAAGAAACATAGTTGGGTGCAAAATATATATTTCTCATAAGATAAACTTGAAGGGTGCA